CCACTTTTCCCTTCATAGTGTTTACCACATTTGCTTGGTGAATTTTCTGCGTCATTATTTGCGGGCTGCATCTCTCCCCCATTAGATGGTAATGGGTGTCTCGTTTGCCACTCAATGAATTGCCTGTGTTCACCACGGTTCTTGGCACAGAGTATTGGCTGTACTCAGTACTCAGTAAATATGGGCTCAGTGGATAGTTAGGCTTAAAAATATGGGCACATAAATGGGCTCAACAAATAGGGACTCAGAAAAATGGGTTCAGAAAACATTTGAACAAATGAGCAAACATCTGCCAATATAGTGACTACTTTTCAAGTTCTACCCAACCTTGACTCAAATAACTGCAAATTTTTCTCGCTAACACATTGTGTATCCTTCAATGGCAGGGATGCTCCTAAACAATTTAATCTCAGATCAGTTCATAGTCTAGGAGATCACTCCTGTGTTCTTACTTATGTTTGTAGCTTGCTTAGAAGGCCAACATGGTAGACTCATTTTTACCCCTTCCTTATATATAATTCAGAGTCTCTAGTCTCCAAATTAATGGAGTTTTTGGTATATTGGGGCAACCGAAGGAAATGTATCCATTTACACATTTTCCGATAATGATATTTGAGTAATATAATATGTCTATTAGCATTTCCATAAAGCCCAGGAGGGGCTTTGGCTTGGGAGGAGGCTTGGCTCTGAAGAGGTTGACAGTTCTGTGAGTTTCATCAGCCTGCTTCACTCCATTTTCTAATTATTTTACAGTTTCTGGTAGCCTTTTCAAGATGGCTAAATTTAAATTTGCTACAACGTTTTAAGCAGTCTCTTTCTCTCAGTGTGGCTTGGCAATTATTTCTGAGGGAAATGATTAAAAGCGCAGCCTTTCATCAGGGGGAGAACAGAGTGGCATGCGGAGCTCAGATGAGAGGTGCTTTCTTAAGAAGATTCACGTAATTGTGCGAGAGTGGTCAAATTTCTGAAGATTGCATGAAGATGGCAGAGTCCATCATTTGTGGAGATGTAGGAAGTGATTCACAGAGGGACGCTGTGCCGTAAACAGGATCACATTCTGTGCTTTAACATTCGGCCAGGGCGCCACTTACTTTTTGAAAAGGGCCATTCATTTAAAAGCGAGTTAGCATCCTTCTTCAATAATCCAAATTAGTTTAACACACTTCAGTGACATTATTTGGGCATTTTTCACAATTATTAAAGAAAACTCACTTTTCTCTGTAGACTGTAGGTCAAAAGCAAATTAAATCAATGGATTTTCTCCCTTCCTGCTCTCAGATGAGTCAGAAAGTATTGGTCAAATGCGCACATGGCCTTTCCGTTAAGCTTCAAAACCCAAACAACCTGCTGAGAAGACATTTGGCCAATCTGATTATTTTCTCTATACTAATTGGTTTTCCTTCTTCATTGAATTGAATGAATTGCCTGGTTGTTTTGTCACTGTGGGGACCCAGCTTAATCCACTTAGAGTGAGGTGCTTGTGCTTGGTAAGCTGGGGGGCTATAGAAACGTTTATTGTCAATATTATCTTTTGTGATTTTTCTTCGTGGGGGGAATGAGGATATAGCTTGAATCCATCCATTTTCTCTGTTTTGATTTCCACTGCCTTTGCTCGCCGTCTCATCTGGCCACTGGATTGCCCTGGTAAGCCCCAGGGTCCGGACCGCAGTCATCTATGCATTTTGAGAAGATGGGGACCCCCTGCTGGAAACAATGGTTGCTTCACAGTGAATGTGGAAAAAATCTAAGCCCCTTTCCGCAGCTGCCTGCACCTGACAAGACCTGAGCCCCTGCTGGCTTCCCCACCTTCATTTTGTGTCCTGCCCCCTTGCTCACTGCCCTTCCTCCATCATGGCCTCCCACTGGGTTCCTCAACCCCCTCCAGGCTCCTTCCCACCGCAGGGTCTCTGCATCTGTTCCTCCTTCACCTGGAATGGCCTTCCAGGGCTGGTTCTTTCTCACCCTGAAAGTTTCATTTCAGATGTTGCTTCTTCAGAGAGGCCTTCCTCAGTATGGGCAGCAGTCACGTACCTACCACTCTGTGTCATGTGCCCCGTATCAACTGTGACTCTCTGGAAGAGCCCCTGTTTACAGTGACAGGAACGTGCTCCCCTCCCTGCTTACCGTCAGTCTCTGTCTGCAGCCCCCTGCTGCTATTTACATTCTGCGATAGCCCCACCCTCTGCTCATTTCCTTCACAATGCCTGGCACAACTGGAAATGATCTTATCAGTTGACTGGTCTTCATCTCTCTTCCCTACTGAAGCAGAGGCTCTCGAGGGCCAGGGCACCTCCATCTTGTTCTGCAGTGTTTGGGGGGCCAGCTGCATGGCACCTGCCTCACTGAACAGGCCCAAGTCATGTTTGTCGAGCAAATGAATGGAATACCAAAAGCCTGGTTCTGTGTCGATACACAGGTGCTCAAGTGAAAATTGTATTAAAGGAAAAATGACTACTTCCTTTCCCAAACCGTTGCATTTTCCTATGGATTTTCAGAGTTGATTTGCTCAGGATTAATGCACTTGCTAATCTAGTCACCTACCCCTCGAGATATAAGAAGCAGGTCTGTACTTTCCAGGCAGGAGATTGGAGGACTCCTCACACGGAAGCTGTCTAGTCCTCGTGGAAGACCCGGAGAATTATTTCAGGGCTTCCCACTTAAATACGGCAAGCAGATAACCCCGCAGGGTGGCCCCAGTTGACAAAGTGCACATGTAAAGAGCTCCCAGTCCGTTGTGTAGTGCCTGTTTCCTAGACGTGGGCGGATATTTAAGTTTGCTGGATACCGCAGGACCGTCTTTAATATGGAAGGGAAAGATGAAAACAAATGAGAACAAAAGGAACTGGGAAGAAAGACTGTGTAGGGAGAGGCAAACTTCAGCAAGAACAACAGTGGCCGCAAACCATTATTAATATGGCCAGAGACACAATGGAAAATACTGGAGCCATGAAGTAACAACAGGGTGCTCTAAAGAGGAAAATAATAATAGGCTCTTAGAAATGAAAAACATGATAGCAGAAATAGGAAATTATGCGTTGGAATAGAAAATCCCAAAAGTAAAATAAAAAGACAAGTAGGAGATAGGAGAGAAAAGATAAGAAAAAGAGGAATAGACAAGGAAAAGCCCAGTAACTTACTAAGAGCAGTGCGAGGAAGAGAGAAAAGGTGAAACAGGAGAATAAATATCAAAGAAACAGCACCATGTTTTCCCAAAACCGAAGGACATGATTCAGATTGAAAGGGCACATTGAATGCCCAGACAATGAATGAAAATAAACCCAGGACCATGGAGACACTGAACAAAGAAGAGTCTAGGAGTTTCCAGAGAGACAAAACACAAAAAGGTTTTGCCCAAAGGATCATGAATCATAAATCATGTTGGCTCCAGACTTCCTAACAACTAGAACTCAACAGAGTCGTGTCTTTGGTTCTGAAAGCAAATGATTTCTAATTCAGAATGTTATACCCCAACAAGTGGCAGACTGAAGTCTATAAACAATTTTATTTCACACACCCTTTCTCACGAAGCTGCGGGAAGCTTTGCATTAGGAAAGCAAGGAAACAGAAGTGGGGGGCTCCAGGAACCAAAGAGGTGAGGAGAATCGCCACAGTGGGGTGAAGGGGATCCGGGGGCACAGCCACACAGTAGGCCCAGGGAGCAGCGGGCCACTGGGGGCAGATCAGAGAATTTGAAGAGCGATCCTTCTAAGGAAAGGAAACAAAACCTCAGACAATTGAGAAGGAGGTGGGAGGCTAGTTTTAGTGCTAGGTCTACGGACAACCAAGCAAAATTTAAAAACGAGGTAGTTGTTAACTCCAGGGAAAACAGTGTTGGCCAGAAAGACCATGTAGTCATGGCACATTACGTGGCTCAGCAGTGAGAGACATGGTCCTAAACATGTAAACACTAAATATTCTTCTAGACAAAATTATGACATCATAGTTACATAACTGTTGCGAGGAGATGGGGTGAAAAGTGTGCATACGTGGTGGGTGGTGGTGGGGGAATGAAGGTTCTGGATCCAGGGGTGCTGGAGAAAGAGGTGAATGCTCCTCTCTCCTCATGAGAAGTCACAGGCTCTTCTCCAAACTGAAAAAAAAAAAAAATCAAGAAGTAGTGCTATAAGCATGTTATTAAAAGTGAAGGAGATAAATATCAAAAGAATCCAAAGCGGGAAAAGGTGAGTGGGTTGGCAGGCATTGCTATTTTTCTTAATAAGTAGAAAGATTCGACTTTTTGATACTCTGTGCATATGTAACTTTAATCAAAATGAAAGCAAATTTGAAAGGGGATCTAATGCTTTTCTCTGGTGGCATAGCCATGCTAGAATTTTTTCTGATTTCATTTCATGATATAATCCATCGTCTCTGCAATTCTGTGGGCCTTCTGACCTGTATCCCAGGCCACTGTGACAAAAGGAGAGCAAGTATGGGTGAGGCGGGAGGGGAAGCCGCTGCTCCCTTGAGAGAGTGCTGCTGTTTGGTGGATGTTGTCAAACTTCCCTCTTTGGTGCCCCCTCCCCTCCCAGATCACAACCATAACCACCACCAAACAACAGCAACACCAAAACCACCCTGGCTTCCTGCTGCCTGGTGCTCCAATGGAGACAAAACCTCATTTCCATAGAGACGGAAATGTCTACCCTTGACCCTGGTTGAATGGCCAGAGAATTCACGCTAACCTGAAATTAACCTAACCTGGCCTAAAGGTGGCCAGGAAGATGGCTCTGATGAAAAATAGCCACGTGACATATTTTTTAAAAAATGTATGTGACTTAGGGATTTTTCTGCCTTGGGAACTGGTTTTACCATTTCTTAGCGGAAGTGGAGACGTTTTATTGAGCTGTGTGAAGTGATTCAAGGTAAGCGGGGTTCCCGTGCACATTGTGGGAGACGCGGGTTAATGAGCCCTGAGCTGTGGAGGAAGACAAAGTCCTAGGGAACTCACATTTGCTGATGTTATCACTTCCGGTGTGTGTAAGCGTGCCTCCCCGTTTCAGGTCTGAATCTGCAAGAGGAACCATCTCGTGCCTCTTCAGAATCACCTGTTGGTTGTGGGCACAGAGAGAAGGAGGAGGAGGGCTCCAGACAAACTTCGGGAAGCTTCTCTCCCAGCACAAGTTCAAGGGCCAGGAGTGGAATAGACCCCGTAATCATGAAGGTGGGGACCACGGTTCTGAGCTGTCTCTGTTCGTGGGCTGTCTAGATTAATGGCTCTCTTTTGCTTGTTGTTGGTGTCCCAGGTGGCAGAACTTGCCCCACCACCCAGCACACACAGCCCAGTAGGTGCACAAACGCCTCCAGACACCGTGTGCTGAAAGAATGGGATGATTACTAAAAATCCTAAATAATGCTTTTAATTCGTACCTGAGTAGGATAGAGATGCTCTCATGCTGCAGACATCACTGTGACATGACTTCACTGCCAGGCAGGAAGGGGGGGGGGCGTCGGTTGAAAAGCACAAAAATGCTAATCCAGACCACACTTCAAAAAGTGCTCCTCTGGAAAAACTTAAGTTCAAGGTAACTATAAAGTAGCACATTTGTCTGCCTCGTGAGCAGTGGTAATTTAACATTGGATACTCAGAACGGGGTGGATAATTGAGTGATTTGGTTTTTCACAAAGCCAGGTAAAAACACATAGCAATCTCAGCAACCTATTTTGTGGCAACAAGGAGTTTTCCTCGAGTTAATGCACCAATTAGTTATTAATGGGAACTGATTGAGGGCATCCTGTTGAAGTTCACGCTTGGTAAAGAATCATTAAGAACTCAAGACCTAGTTTTACTGAGGACCACGTTTCTGACCACAAGTTTTTTTTGTTTTTGTTTTGTTTTGTTTTGTTTTGTACCAGTTAACCTTTCTTCCCCCATTTGTTTTCCTTTGCACTTTTTTGCAGGTAATTTCTCCAGCTGCCGGTGGCTGCAGTGACTGCCACCATCAGAACACTGCTGCTGGGTCAGGACAGTCTGAGCGCCCCGGCTCCTGCGTGGCTGTGGGTACCGACAGGCTTCTGTCTCCAGGCAGAAGTCTCAGCCTGGGATTGCTGGAGACCCGGCCGCTGCCCTCCCAGGAGCAAGTCTCAGTAGATATGAAACCATACATTTCCTCCGATGCTCAGGAGCCTTCTTCCTTTGAGTCCAAAGGAACCTCTCCCTGCCAGGATGTTGCTCCTTCTGTGGCTGCCATTTGTGCTCTGGGGGAGAGAGCAGGTCACACAACCCTGGGAATTCACAGTGCGGAGCCGCAAGCCCAAAGAGCTGCAGGGGAGGCTCTGACACAAAGCTCCTCAGACAGAAAAGCTAAAGCGGAGGGCATGTCACCACCAGTCCTGCCAGGGAGACCTTCATCTGAGCAAAGAATTTCAGGTTTGGTTTTGTTGGAGTCAACTGGAAAAACTCGTCTTGAAATACCAGCATCAGGAGCAGGCTCAGCTAGTTCATACCAAGAGGAAGGGGAGCACAAGATGTTTTCTCCTACTGGGGTACAGGAGGGGCGTGGAGAGATGGTAGTCCCTTGCCCTCCTTTAGGAAATGAAAGTGGGAAATGTCGAGGCTCTGGATTAACTGCTCTAAAAGATCGTGTGGTTCCTTTTAACCCAGGGCAGCCCAGAGAATCCCCTGAATCCCCTTCAAAAACTGTCAAAAGGAGGGGTCTGGAAGGACTGAGAAAGCAGACCCGAGTGGAGGTCAGTGACACCAGCAGTGACGATGAAGACCGGTTAGTGATAGAGATGTGACGCTTCTGAGCCTGCGGTTGGAGACCAGATGCTGTCAGACAGGCAGACAGTTGAACTCTCTTTCACCAAGCACCTACCTATGAGGAAAGCCATCTGGGGATCTTTCCAAGGCATCCCCAGCGAACTCTAGCCCCCTATTCCCCAGATGCCCTTGTGGTATACCAGGTGCCAGGCAGGCAAAGGCAGCAACGGAGCCCAGTCTAAGAATGCTTGGCGCACAATGACTACACTCACCTCCCAACCATGTCTTCTACATCGGCCCCCACTGCCTCCTCCGTACGTTGGCATTAACCAGGATAGCCGCAGTCGACATATTTATGTGCAAGTGAACCGGTAGAGTCAAGTCGACCGACTTCCTCCATTAGTAAGCTGAGGGTTTGCTTCAAAGGTGGTAAGCACACTTGGGTAACTGGGGTAGCTTGCAGAGGAGATGGGGCATTAAGATACATCTGTTCATTCTGGAAACCAAATCCAGATTCATTAAAAAACTGCAGTTTGGTTAGAATAACTTGCATCCTTAGTGGAAGTTGTAAATATACTTCAAAATGCCTATGATCTAGTAAAATGCTGATTATCTTTAAATGTTACACCAGTGGTCAGTGCTTACGTATGATCCAACGACACAAGCATGTACTGCTCTTAGGCCCGGTGCCTTTTCTCTTGAGACCTCTGAAACCCTTGGTTTTTTTAGCTCTTGCAAAGGAACGCAGTGTTAAAAGTTAATAGAACAGTCTCTGTAATGAGTCATTTTTTGAGGGGGAAAAATTCACTTATTTTTCTCTGATTCTTTCTGTCATATTGTGCTCTGAGCAATTTCAATTAGAGGGTTACATTTTAGTAATCTCTACAGCTTAAATTGATGCCTGCTCATCGTGACGGGAGCCTTTTAGATTTCCTCCAGAAGCTTCAAGGATACAAAACTAATTGGAGTTTTGACGCTGTTTTACATCTCAGTAATTTTATTTTGGGGGCTTGGTGTTACTTTGCTGTCAAATTAAATCAGCCTCTGTATTGTGCAAGTCAGAACAGTACAGATAAAATTCCCCCGTATTCCAAGCCAGCGCGCCCCTGTGCAGGAGAAAATAGCTGATCGACGTCAGCCAGCTCAGTGAGCGAAGCCTCAGATTTACTGCATTCTTCTCCTTCTCCTTAAATGGGAGAGGAAAAACTTACAGAGATTTACACTGCTGCATTTCAATAAAATTTTATACTTGCTTTTGGTAGATTTTGTACAATTTGAAATTTATAGCTGAGCTCTTTTGGCTTAGCTTTTGACGTGATGATGTTCATATGACATCTTGTACCTTCAGAAGCAGGAGCAATGCCTAGCATCTCGCACACGTGAACACACTTAATGTGTCCTTGCCTGGGACTAAGGATGGGCAAGTTTCAAGTATCGTCATGTGAGTTTTCCAATTTTGGAGTTATTCACAGGGAACTTCAATGCAAGACCAGCTTCCCCTGGTGACTTAGCATATATGAGATGCGCTCATAAATATTCAAGTGATTTCAAGCATAGCCAAATAAAACATAAGGAGGGAGGTAAAAGGATGATAGGTATTCACTTTGTGTACTTTATTTTTCGTTGTGTACTTTTTAAACCAAACAAAAGTGATGTGGTGATTATCTACTTTTGAATGACCCATGCCCCTGTAATGAGAGAGGAAGTCTAGGAAAGTGGCTGAGTCTTGGAGGAAGAGAGAAGTCCTGACTATGTCCTTATTGAGCTGGGAAATCTTGGTAAGACACACATGCCCTCTACACCTCAGTTTCTCCAGCTGAGAATCAGAGTTGGACTAGATGAGCTGGATGCATCTCCAGGCTCTAATCCTTGTCAGATGAGCTGTCCTTTACCTGAGGAGGTTTGGGGGCTCTGAGGTGACCCCCATGGGGAGGGGCCCCCCACACAAGACATTTCAGGGGGACCGTGGAGAACTGAAGCGTGAACATCTTCAGCCAAGTATTGCCATGAAGAACGTGAGCTCAGAGAAGCTCTGTATGATTTTTTTTTCTTCAGAGTTCCAGATTTTGGGGGTACAGTCATCCAGTTTATACATTTGGCTCATAATTCAAAAATTGAAAGCAAAACCAGAACACTACCGTGTGAGGTGAAGACAACATGTCTGTGGGCTGAATTGACTACTTTGTCTGGGGACACACTGGTTAGGGGAAGAAAACTTTCTTCCAGATACTTCTTTCCTGGTGGCTACTAAGCTGTCAGCAGGATCGCTCATCTAAATCAGTAAGTCACAGCTCCAAATAGCACTGACCTCCAGATGGTGGTGGAAGTTCTGTCCTTCTAAGAGCCACCATTGCTGGCTGCCACATCCCAACCTGGATCCCATATGGTGGAATATTGGTTCCATCTCTTTGACTCCCTGTGTCTCTTACCAAGGCAAGCAGGTTGCCAAGCCATCCTGTCAGCTGGTCATTTAGCAATGGGTAGCAATGTTTACAAGGGTACCTTACTTTATATCAGCATGAATTTGTGAAAAGCTATATTCTGGTGGATTTTTTTAAAAAAAGTATTATGAGTGACTCTAGGGGAGTTGGCTATTGGAAATCATCCTAAGGTATAATTTTTTTTTTTTATGAAGAATCCTTTTATAAAGCAACAAATACTCCCTGATTTTATAAATCTTAATTTTCCTGTGGGGCTTCTTAAAGAGAAGTGCAGTCCCAGGGCTATGTTTATCAGCAATCTATAACCCAGTTTGGGTTATTGAAAATAAAATTTCAATATTATCAATTGATAATTGCTGCAGCTTTTACTCTTCAGGTGTGCACTCTGTAGTGGTTAAGGGAAAACAAATTTATTTCAGAACAAGACAAACTGGAGTTTACCGATCAGGGATTCCTCCCTCTCCTTAGGGCTGTTAATTTTATTGTACCTTCGGGTAAGGGTCTTAACCAGTTGGTGCTCAGCTTCTTCCACTCCAGGGATGCTGGCATAGACTAAAGTCAAGTGCACTTTGAATTCTTTGCTTTTATCTCAGGGCAAGGTATACAAGTGCCATGACCAGTAATGCTCAAGGCTTACCACCTGGTTTCTCTCCAGTTGTACCTACACCTGGCCAGACATCCCTTGTTAAAGATGCGTGGAGAGAGGTTTCACCTCCCCCCTTGGCAACCTATACTGTTAAGTGACTTTTGAAGTCACATGGTGTTTAACAGACAACCTGGATCCTCTTTGTTGTAAGGCATGATGGAGGACAACTCATCCCTTCTGTTATGTATAACCTTGGAGATTCTGGATGAACTGAATATCCCTTTGATTCACAACCCAAGAGAACCTATGGTTCATTTGCTGAGAGATTAAAAAGAGATGGGTGAGGAGTGCCTCTGGATTCTAATCAAACCCTGCCAATAGCATGATGGGTAACTGAGGGCAAGTTACACTTTCTCTTCCTAAAATCCCTCTTCTACGGCTCAGATGGAAAGAGCCTTGCAAGAATGCATTGTGACCACAGTTCTTGGCATGAAAGATGAACGAGTTGCAGCCTTATGCCAAAAAGTATTTCCTTGCATTTACATTCATTACTTAGAATGATCACATTATTCATTTTTTCCCCAGCATAGAAATTTGCATTTTGCACAAAATTTGCCTGGTGCAGCAGATTTTTATAGTTAGGGAAACTGTCATCATTATTGGAACGTGCTGCTGCTCAGCTCCCCAGACATAATTTAATATGGTGAGGAGAAAATGGTCTGCCTGACTCCATGGCGATCAGATTTCTACAATGGCAGCAAAGAGAACCTGTGTATTCTTCCTCACTTCAGTTGTGATTCCCAGAGTTCTCTCTGGCTTTTGAAACACTACATTTCTTGATATTTAAGCACAATTTCGTGTCTTTATCTTTCAGAACTCATTAAATATAGGTGTCAGGACCCAGAGAATCTTGTGTGCTAGATTTGCACCTGTACAGTTCTCTTCACCCATGCTTTTGTACTTATGTGGGCACATAATTCGATGTGAAGAAGTCTAGGAACATTTGAGCGTATTGCTTCACCATTGGAAGAAAAGGAGCCAGGAAAATAATCCATCTCTGTCCCTTGGAGCCCTAGAGGATGACTCAACATCTCCTATATGCAGCCCACCGTTCAGAACTTACTACTCTCTTGATTGTTCATGATCAGGAAAGCTATTGGCCTCTTGGTTGTTTGTTGAAATTTATCTCCTTCTTTATATGGTTAAATTATTTTGTTTTGATAAAAATAAAACTGAAAAAAATGTTTTGTGTGATTTGTTAACATTTTAACTAAAACTATCGCAGGCAGTATCCTGTATGAATACGATACCTGATCATTCCCAAGTAGTGAACCAGACATCCTGTCCGCCATATTGGTATCCCATTCCACTCAACAGAAAGATTGGGTAATGGCAAATTAGCACATTTTCTTGTGCTGTTTCCGTTTCCCATGTGTCTCATTTGTCATTGTCTGCCATATTTTAGACTTCTTAACTAAAAAATGTGTTTTTAAATTCTTAAATGTAGCTAAGTTTTGAAGCCACATGAGGGCACTATCCACAGTGCAATAATCTAAAACTTTTCCCCTTAGAATTGATGTCTCTTGGGTATTTAATATTATTCATCAACAGAAAAAACATTCTTAATTCAAAACAGTGCCTCCTTATGAAGATAGTTCATGTATTCTTTGCAAGAATAAGTAGAGTTCTTTTACATACCAATACAATACTAGTCTTCTACATCTACACCTCTTGAAGGCACTTGAAGTCAATGGAGACACAATGCATCGGGAGAAAAAGTTCAAGTGGAAAAACATAAGGCACAGATGTACTTACTGATGGGTCTGAGATGTGTTTTTGCTAACTCGTCAAACTCTAATAGTAATAAATTAACCCATTATTTCCAAACTTCAGTCATTTGAAAATCATCCTAATGCTTTTTGCCATATATGTCCACATATGGGTGTATTATTTACTTAATACTTCTGTTTAACTCATCCTGTTTTCCACATGCTTTTATTTAAGAAAATTTTTATTACTGAAATGTAGTTGACATGCAGTGTTTTATTAGTTTTAGGTATACAACATAGTGATTAAACAGTTTTAAACAATTCTCAATGTTAAGTGTAGTCACCATCTGTCACCATACAACATTATAATAATATTACTGACTGTATTCCCTATGGTGTACTTTTTATCTCTGTGACTTACTCTTTTATAACTGGAAGTTTCTACCTCCCAATCCCCTTATTTCTCCCTCCCACTACCCACTTTCCCTCTGGCAACCACCAGTTTGTTCTCTGCATTTTAGAGTATCTGTTTTTGCTTTTTAGATTCTGTATGTAAGTGAAATCATATGGTGTTTTTCTTTCTGTGTCTGACTTATTTCACTTAGCATTATAGTCTTTAGGTCCATCCATGTTGTCACAGATGGCAAGATTTCATTCTTTTTTATGGCTGAGTGATATTCCATTGTGTGTATTTACTACATCTTTATCATCCCTGTCTTAAAGAAGTGAGTATTGCCCTAAATAATGATATCTGTGAAATCTCAACCTGAATGTAATAGTTTTGTTTATTTTCTGATCTGCAGTAAACTAAACTGTTAAAAAAAAGTATTCATCCATGTACCAGTTAAATATCATCTTTACACTACCAGTGGTATATCCCTCACACTTGCAGAAGCATTGAGTGAGTCTGAAAGGTACATGCATTGTTAGTTTCTTTAATTATTCTAGTTTCTGGTAAGCACAGCTCTCTCCCATTTTTTCTCCAAGCCAAAAGAACTGGTGACCAGAAGTAGAATTGTAGGTTTATCAGATAAGTTTTCACCAGTCAAACTTCATAGGTGAGTAATTAACCTTCCAAGTCAAAGGATTATCACATCCTTCAGTTGCAAAGGATAGTCACATAATGTCTTGTGATATAAGCACATTTTTTGGTGTTTGGTTGGTGGGTTGGTTGATCAGTTGGCTGGCTGGTGAGTACCAGGTGATATACAGGAAAACACAGTTAAGGATTCATGCCCAACCGCAAGGACTACCATCAATTCTGCTTCTGCTGAAGGACCTGCTTCCATACTTTTGGATTTGAAGCAAATGGATTTGGCTGCACCAAGAACCATGGAGAGCAGCTTTCCAGTCTGCTGCTTGGTGACAGCCTGTTGATCTTCAGGCTGTGAATGCAGAAGGATTTGCTCTGTGGCGTCTAGGACCTTTGTCTCCAGCTGTGACAGACATCTGCTTTCAGTTTCCCTCCCAGAGGCAAGTTCAACACCCTTTATGATTGAGCATTTGGTGATTTTTGACCAGAAGTAAGTGAATTGTTTTTCTGCGTAAATGCATGAGTGAATGGATTCCTATAAGAAATTAGTGGTTTTGTACATGTAGCATCTGGGGCAGAGTGACCCAGTCCTGTCTCTGGCCACAGTGGAAATCTGGTTGCCTTCTGTGTGTACGTAGTGTGAAATGGGATATAATTCGGTAGAAATGAGGCCTCAACTCCCTTATAAATGAAAGGCTGGCTATCCAGGCTTGTTTTTTCTATATGCTAGCGTTCCAGTCAGACACGTTTGCTCTACGGATTCCTGCACACACGTAGAGGCCATACATTGAGGACCTACGCAAAAAGTCCTCTTCTTGTTCAAGAACTGAGTGGAGTGGGGCCAGTGAGCTAGGAAATGAGATGGCCACATATATAGTCCAGGAGGGATCTCCTTGGAGCAGGGCCCATAGTGTCTTCATCTGGGTGTTCTCAGCAGCTGGAACAGTGTCTGGCTCCCAGCAGGTATTAATGCACATTTGTTAAGTAAGGGGATGAAGTGGCTCACTGCTAGTCAAGGAGAGGAAAGAAAGACTCTAAGATGAATGATTTGGCCCAGCCTTGTTCCTTATTATCAGAGATGAGCAAAAGCATATAGTGAAGTTTCTGTCCACCAATTTCAGAATGTGTCACTTTCCCATTATCTTCTCCATGTTGTTTGTTCAACCAATATTTACTGATTGTTAAGTAGGTAGTAGGCATATGAGGATATAGGATTGAAAAAGACAGGATCTGTGGAGCTTTTATTGGGAGGAGGGAGTGTCCATTCATTAACCAACCAGACAGACAAATATGTAAACAATATAATATCAGATGGTGCTAAGGGGGTATTAGAGAGTATCTATCTCACCCTAATTCAAAACGTCTAATGCAAATAAACATTTTTCTCTTACTGTCCTCAGTAAAGCAGGAGAAATCATCCTCTGCATTAAGATCTATCCCACTTTGTGCCAACCACCCCAGTTCTTCTCAGCTGAAGCAGAGAATGTTGCAGAGTGATCTCATGAGTCTTGTGCTTATAAGTTTCCTTACTTTCTTGGTCGCTTCAGTAAGTGTTAGTGGCATATCCTGACCCAAGCATGGTGACTTCATGCTGATTTATAGGTACCCCAGCACTTAGGGGTGCATGCCTCTTGGACCCCACAGTAGCAGGTGGGCACTGTTTTAACCTAATTCCCTTGACAGAAGCTATCAAATATTTGATGCCTTGGTGATCTCAGTCCTGGATTCTTTTTCTCAGGAGAGGTTAAGCAATCACCCTTAAAGGCAGTGGTTCTCAGAAGAGGGTGATTGGACGAAAGGGGAACATTGGACAGTGTCTGAAAGACAGTTCTGATGTCTCAACTTTGGGTGAGGGGTGCTGCTGGCCTCTGGTGAAGGAATGCCGCATGACATCTTGCGATCATATCCTACCGTGTGCACAGGCTGGCCCCACACAAAACGTCCAGTCCACCAAGCCACCAGTCCTGAGGTCGAGAGCCTGGGGCTCAGGAGGTGAGGTTACAGTCCACGAGAGACCCAAGAACAGCTCGCTTCTCATACTGGTGATGACACTGGACCCGAAGTAGAGTCCAGGCTCCATGTCCCAGGCCAGTACACTTTCCACAGCATCACACATCCAAGAGGACATGCTTCCAGAGCCTGCACACAGTAGGCCATCGGTTGGTTATGGTTCAGTTTACCCTGAATCTCATTTGCTTTTCCTACTCTTCATTCCACCTTGAGGAGAAATAACCAGGACTTGGGAAGGTAAATCTATGTGAACAGGTGTTTGAGTATTGAGTAGATATTCAGGAAATATTTTTAGATCAAGAGCTTGGATTTTACTGTGAGGGTGAATGCAGCCCAAACTCTCATACAGTCTCCTTGGATCTCCAGATCCAAAAGGAAGGAAAGAGACAGGATACTGATTTAGGCACCAGGAAGCTTTCGGATTTGACTAAGCTGAGCGGTTTGTTGGCTTGTGCTTTCTTCTTTTTAGGGGAAACTGAGAACCAGAGGATTTTGTCCTGGCTTGAGTCAGAGTTAGCCATGACTAACACCTGGGCTTCAGCCCTGAAGTCCAACATTCTTGCCATGACACGATCACCTTCTGCCTCTGAAATGTTCCATTATGTTCTACCATCCTTGCTAAAAATGCAAAGAAGAACAATACATTTTATAAAGATTCTTTGCATCAGGGTTTGAAAATATTGATGAATTTCTGGTGAACTGGGAATTACCCAGACAATTAAATTATCCAGAATATTCCGTTCCCCAAATGTTCTGGTTAATCAAGGTTTGATTGTGTTTGTTTTGCAAAAAGAAAACTTCTGTCCTAAGACATTTAGACTCAGAGATGTGAGCAGCGCCTGTGTGGTCTTATAATTTATGCACTTGAGTTGCTGTTCCGTGGGCAATTTGGCAGGGATCACAAACGTAGACAAAGAAGATGCTAACAGCAGAAAGACATCACCAGAAAGCCTGTGGAAGACAAACACTTCGCATCTTCAATTATAAGACAACCTGATGCAGAGAGAGAATAAATTAATTTAAAAACCTCCTGCACAAAGAAAATAATGGAAAAATACATCACAAGTAGTTATCCCTTTTGTGCTAAAAACAAGTGATTTGAAGAAAATAACTGCATGGGGCTGAATGTGTTAGTCTTATTATCTTTTTCTGGTTTTAAATTCTTAGGGGAGAAACAGAGAACAAGGGGAAAAAAAAGAAGCTTTCATTGTTTCCACAAACATCTATTGGGTATTTGGTATGTTGCCAGGCACCAGGCTACACTTTCTGTGACTTTTTCTACTTTTTAAAATTACTTTCAATCAGGTGAAAGAAACCTCTAGATGCCTCATTGCTGATTCCAGGGGTGGTTCCAGAAAGGCCATTTCTTCTAAGGTTTTTGCCAAAACTGTTATGGTTCAACTTAGAGGTACAGCTGGGGAATATCACCTAGGATTCTCCCCACTGGAACCTAAGTTTTAGGGGTTGGCTCCTCCTAGGCTTTGGGGGGCATCCATTTGCAAGGAGAGTTTTATGAGAGTTTCAGATTGGTTTTCCCTGGAAGCAGACTCTGAAACAGAGTTTAGTGTTGGAGGTTGGTTTGGGAGGGCCCTTGGGACGACCGACACCTGTGTAAAGTAGCATAGGGGAGCAGAAAGGGCAGAGGGAGGGGCCGAGCTCTAATGCAAAGACAGCCTTAGCCAACCCATGGGGTGCGTTGGAGAAGGGCTGTGCCCTTGGGGGAGGCAGCTCTCTGTGGCCCAGGCAGGCCTTGGAGGGACCAGTAGCTAAAGGCTGCCTGCAGACAGCACTCCATCAGCTGGGGCAGCAGCCCTTCACTAGGGGGATTGGGGTGGCACATCTCGGTCTCTACTGCAGTGAGGCTCCACTGCAGTCCCATCTTCCTCCTTCCCTCCCTTCCTCCCCCCCTCACCCCCTCCCCTCCCTTCTTACCTTCCTTCCTTCATTCCTCCCTTCCTTCCTATCCAACAAATATGTACTGAGCATCTGCCATCTGCCCAGCACAGCCTGGTAAAGAAGATGTCAAACAAAATATATATTATTTACTTACAACTTAACAAACGCTAACAAGGGACTATGCTAGGTGAGAAAAGAGAAAATAATCTGGGGGAACCAACAGAATCAAGGAGCCTTTAGGCTGAACCCAGAAGGCTGAGCTGGGATGAGGGTAATGGTG